CTCTTTGGCGAGTTCGTCTCTTGGTGCGGAGAATGGCAAAATTAACTGATGATGCCGACTGTGATGCCGACGAAACGTCTGAGAATGTATCAAGTCCACGGTCAGATGCTGGGAATCAAGATAACTACTATGGCAGACGACTTCGGACTCGGTGCGTTCTACATGGTCGCCCTGACAACAAGACCAAGTTGCGACAACGAGGTCAACCCACTTGTATGAAACACACTTTGCTGAGTTGTGTAGTCATGATGGGATTTAATAGAGAGCTGAAACGCGTAGATCCGGCATTGCTTTGACGTCAGTTTATTTCTACGAAGAAAAAGTAGTCCTGCAGACACGGGCACTTTGCTTTGGGCACGAACGCAGTGGAAGAAAGAAACTTCACATTTTTGTGGCGAGCATCCACTCTCGGTAACTAGGAGAGGAGTCTGGCTCAGCTGTGGACGTGACCCTATAGCGATAAGAGGTTCCGGTTGCCGTAAATTCCAGTGTTGCGGTTTTTGCGAGTAATGCGTCGATGCAAGAGGCGGACAGGAGGTGGGAATGGCGCGCAAGAGCGTGACGTCGGATCACTCGTAGTTGTCGCAAGGTTGATAGTGCCATGGACCAATCAGCTTGCCTGATATGAATGTCGGCTTTTGATTGGCGCCTGGTAGTTGACTTTGATTGGGCCAGATATCAGTGTCCAATAGGGGTCCACTGGCTGACTAAACGGTTGGCGAGAATGTGATTGGTCGACAGCCGCACTGACTGAGTCAGGGTTAAAAGTCGACTGTGTAAAATGCTATAAATATGCCTTTAATATGTATAAATATATAATATAATATAAATATAATAATATAATAATATAATATATAATATTTATATAATATAAATATAAATATGCCTTAAGGTCAAACAACTTCTATACAACGAAAGGACACTGCGACCACAAAAAAGGACACTGCGACCACAAAAAAGGCCACACCATCTTGGTATTTATACCTTCGATTAAAACGCTATAAAGTTGACACCGAGTCTAAGGTGCAAATAAGTATAAATAAAAACTGGCCAAGGGACACGTACAAGTTATTACTAGCGAAGAATGAAATGGAGAATCAGTTTTCGAAATCCACATGTCGAAAAGAGACTGAGATCTTCATCTTGTGCTATCGCCTGTACTATTTATTTTAAAACTGGGTATTCACTTGTTCTCTCTCGATCTCTCCCCCTTGAAAGCACTCTGACCTCTACACATATCCCCGACACACATACACACACACTGTCTGTCTCGTTATTTTCCCTTTGTATGACAACTTAATTTCAATTCTGGTGCCAGATCGGCACAAAAAGCAGACTCCCGGGCTCTGTTTGATCTTAAAGACAAGTGTCCGCATCTGTCCTACGGATGCATGCATACCACAACCACCTTTGCATTAAAGCCTCATGCACGCTTTCTGCCAACAAGCTAAAATGTTTCCCATTCGCTTAGCATTCATGAATAGTCACAGAAAAAATTCATTTATAACGAATCTGCTCCAACTTTTGTGCGTCATGTACTGATTTCTGCTGTTATTCCCTTTTAGAATGACAAATCTAATGATATCCGACTGCCTCGGAAATGCCATAGACATAGTTGTGCCTCAAGGATATTTGCAATTGGCCAATTCTACAGTCCGCAATTGTTTGGGCTACGCCTTCGGCATGGCCATTTTAAACGGGGATTCTACGGATCCAATAACAACGGGTTCAATCGTCTCACAGGTAAACTTTGTATGTCATGCGCATGCCTACACTGCATTCCAGTTGGGGCCAGCTACTGCTGCTATTATAAACATCTACATTGATCTAGTTGTCAGGGCGACTATGTAGAACGCACCTGGTCTGAAGTCGTCTGCCATACTAGTTGTCATGACTCCCAGCATCTGACAGTGGACTTGATACATTTTCAAACGTTTCGCCGGCATCATAGTCGGTCTTCCCATCTTTTTTTTCTAAACTTTTGTCAGCGTTATGGTATCACTCCTCAGTTCTGTGACCTTAAGAGACCATACCACTCGGAAAAGATTAAGGAAAAGATTAAGTGAGTTTTGTCACTATCCGCGCCAAGCTACGAACTCGTCAAAGAGACAAGTGAAGTCAATGCCTCGACAACCGTTCTGGTGGAAACGGTTACACTATCACTCCTCTTTCTGTCATTGTCTATCTATCTACTTGTTACCCTCTTATCCCAATGCCGCCCTATCACAACTTCTCACTTGTTCACAATCCACTCGTCAAAATGTGTGCCCTTTTGTGGCAAACCGAGTGTGGCCTCATCACACTTGTTACTTACCCCGACCCCTCACTTTAGATGGGCTCATCCGACTCTGGCCTCCAATTCAAGTCCTTTCATTGTCTCGTAGATCCGTTCCTTCTCTTTCTGGTTGACCGATTTCACTGGGGTTTAGTACCTGTGTGCATTTCACTCCGGGCGCTATTTCTCAACACCCTCGAAGCAGGTCCACCACAGCCTCACCGAGGAAAAGCGCCTAAACTGTGATTCCCATTCTTACAGATATCAGGCGTTACCTTCACGGGTCCTCTCCTTCATGAAATTCATGTTATCTGAGCAAACTGTGGACGCCTATTTCTGGTCGCATGCGGCATCTTAAGTGGATTTCTAGTCAATTTTGGCCAGAACCTCTAATTTCTAAGACGGTGTGCTTATATGTCTGCCCAGCTCCCTGACTGCCAGGCCCCCAAAATTGTACTGGTTCATTCAAAATGGCCATCAACGTCTTTGTTTTGTTATCAAGTCAGAAATCCCACGTGATTTCCTGTCGGCCATGCTCTGGAGTTTTTGAAAATCTTCCGGAGACAGGATCCTGGCCAAATCACGCCGGA